GTCATATGAAAGCAAAGTGGATGTATAAGCAGGTGGGATGTGAAGGATACAAAAATGTCCTACGAGGTAAACCAAGGCTTGCTGTTTAGAAAACTTGAATCTTCAACACTTGCCTTGATACTGCACTGTATACAGTAACAGGATCCTCTTTTTAGACATTTCTTCCAAATCAGCAATCTTGTTCTTTTAATTTGTAAACTCTAACTAACTTGCAATTGTCAGATTAGAAAAAAAATTATGTTTAGCAGACATGGGGCTTCAACCACTGGGTCCCACATCTCAGCTGAGTTCCTAAATCTCTGTTTTTCCTCCGTAAAAGGAAAAAACCATCATTAGATGATGGGTGTCAACTTTATTGGCACACATATTAAATTAAATATTAGTAACACTGCCAGTGAGCATATATTAATACTTTCTGGCTCCAGAGGAGGAACAGACACACTGTCGTTGTTGATAATTGACAATATTTTAATATGTAAACACTTGGATAGGCAAGACATAAATATCACTCACATGAATTTTATGAACTGTAAATACAGTGTCTAGGCTGAAAGAAGCGTGATCATTGAAAGGTGAATCATGCCAGCTCTTCTGCTCCTCAAATGCACATAGAGTTCCTTATCATCTCCATGGATAAAGTTAAGTGTTGTCCAGTGTTGAACATCCATAGTTCCTATTGATTAAAGATAGAAACTTTAAGTGTTCTCCATCATCCTTCTGGGAATGAAGCCATAAATATTTCTGTTTTGCTGAAATACCTGCCTCATACATAAGGTGGTAGCGTTTGGCATGAGAGTCCATATCACGCAGCCATATCCTTCTGTGGCTGAGTAAACTCTGCACAGTTGTGGTGTTGTGCGGCTGTAGCTGTATGACAGAGAGGAGGAACGGCTAATTTAGCCCTACTGGTTTTGCCGTATGTCTCAAACAATGATGCGGGAAGCCCTTTCCCAGTGTATGCCCATGCTGGGTGATACGCATCATGGAACCAGTTCAGTTATTTGCTGTCTGGAGCTCCATATGCTATAGCAGTGTGTTGGGAATTAGCTCCTGCACCAAGCACTGGAGTGTGTGGAGAAGAAACTGCTGTAGTAAGAGTAAGAAGACACTTGAGTTGTAAGGAGGACTTCTGGAAGATGTGAAGAAGATAAAAGACTGTGCAAAGGTTATTACAGAATAATGGTTTATTATTGTATGTTATGATATAGAGTTACAGCTAAACTTGCGATGAAAATCCCAAAAGCAAATAGTCCAGGAGATGGTATAAAGGAGAGAAAAGAAAATAACAGTTGGCTGCATAGGGATAGCATATTCTCTCTTTAAATGGTGGGTTTGTTCAGTTTTCCAAATCTTAGAAAGAAGACACCTACAGGTGTCATAAAGATAGCATTAGTAAAAACCACTAACGAGTTTTCATTGAAAGAAAGAAGTCTAAAAGGCGAGGAGACACAAAGGAAAGAGTAGAGCAAGAAACATTTCAGAAAGAAGAGTAGATGGTAAAAAGGAAAGCGGACCATTTCTATGTAATACAAGAATAAAAGCATGTCCTGAAACATTAAAAAAGGCAACTAGATCTGCTGCGATATGGTTATGTTGGTGGGTGTGATGATTGCTTTCTGTTCAGCTAGACCGTGAAAAGCAGCCAAGCTTCTCAGAGGAATCAGCTACGTGAGAGAAAAAGATGCGCCACCCAATCACAGGCTCAAAGCAGAATATGAGACAATATTAACCTCGTGACCCAAGAAATTTCACTGGCAAGCAGAGAGGCTGGGTACTGATTTTTTTTATAGTGTAGGTGTCTAGGTATGAGAAAGAAGCATAACAAGGATAACAGAATCAAACTTAAAGAAGAGAGAGCCAGAGGCACAGTCAGAACAAAAAATGGGGAGTATGGCAGAGTACAACCAAACGAAACAACAAAGCAGGAAGGAGAGCTATTCAGGTTTGCTGCTAACCCAAAAAACAACCTCCATGGGTTTGAATTCCTCTTATTCTCAGAGAAATAAGAGTTTGGATGTTCGTTGTGGACAAACAGGATTACATCAAAGAAATGGCTGATTCTTCAATTGTTTTTTCCTCTCAGTGACAACATCATCACCTTACGACCCTCAATTACTGCTCACTGCTTGGGTCAAGAAGGGTTAATCATATTTAGTGTAATGGATAATTAATCTATGGAACTCACAGCAAAGAATCTTAGTGAGATAAATCATTTGGTAAATTTCTAAAAGCTTTAGACAATTAGTGAAGACACGACATCTGCCGTTATATTTTCTGCCCTGGTAATTACAAGGACTGTTAATTCTCACATCTCAGGGGAATGCTCAAGAGAAAAGATTAGGAAGCTGTTTACATTTATGGTACCTTTACATAGTTAGGTGGCTATGAGAGCTTTCTTCTGAAGGGTGTAACGGTTTTGACAAAATGCTAAATTAGATGTAAAACTGTATTGGGGTTTTTTTAACACCTTTATTTCCAGTAGATTTGGGCAAAATGATTAAGATGTTTGTCAAATAATAGGAAGAGTTCAGGGGGAAAATAAATGGAAGCTGGATGTGCAGGATTGCACCTAACAAAATTTATCTCTAATCCAAGTAAATTATTTTCTAGAAGGGTCCAAAATTCACATATACAGCTTGGTTATACCTGTATTTTGACTCAAGTTATCTGATTAATAAAGGACTCTAATTCATTTTTGCCAGTTAAGCATCCCTCCTCATTTTCAAAGGAACCAAGCACATCAAAATCCCAGTTGGGAGCATTTCTGAAGGTTAAGCCAATTGCATAGAGTGCAATAAGAGGAGCTTTGGCATCCTGCTCTAGGGGCACATGTTTGAAATTCATTGTACGTCCGCTGCAAATGGTGGGCACTTCTGCTTGTCTTTGCTTTTTTTTTTATGCCTGTTGGTCCTGCAGAACTTCGCTATCTCATTACCAGTACTCATGGGGAACCGATGTTTATAACAGAGCTGGGAACCCAGTTGCTTCCCTGCCAGAAGGGCATATTTTAGCCATCTAGAGTGGCTAGAGAGTTATAGAGAACAATGTTTGCTCTTGCTCTTTTGCTTGCCAGGCAATTAATTTTTTTAAGTCAACCATGCAAAGAGCATCAGCTTCTATGGGGTTGTTTGTTGTTCACCTAAATATTCTACTGACAATCATTTTATTACCATAAAAGTTTAACCCACCAAGTTTCTAACCCTACCCCTCATTGGTAGTTTACTGTAGAAGTATAGAGGGAGTAAGAAAACACGGGAGCACCCTGTGCCTGGCCATTCTGTAATATAGTCTTGCCCTTCCATGAAAAGCAATGTCATGGGTCCTCCTGCTGTAGCTGCCATGAATCTCCTGTTGGCTTCAGCTGCTCCCCTGACAGTTCTCAACCTGCTGATGGCAGCTGGTAGTTTACATTTAATCTTGGTTCCTTTAAATATGCATGTGTGCATGCATGCATTTGCATATGCACGCACACAGAGTATAAGCTGTAGGTATGCTCACACTGCCTGGATACGTTTAGGGGGGAGAAAGAACAGATTTACCCAGTAGCGTGCTTAGAAGTTCTTCTCAACTTGTGCCAAAGCAAGCATGAAGGGTACCAGAAATGGCTTCAACAAATGTGAAGACTACTGTCATCAGTGTAGGACTGTCATACAGGAAAGGAGCATTTTTCTTCATGAGAAAGTAACTGTTGTGTGAAACAATTGAGCATTCTGTTACAGAGAAAAGTGGTAAAATTAAACAATAAACATCTGAACAGTTAACAGACCGATTGAATTATTTACGATACAGCTCATCATCTGGTCAGAACAAAGTTATTACCACAGAGAAATATGGTTTGGGGGGAAAAAAGCACCAGGTTATTGAAAAATATGTTTTACAAAATCATTGCTAACAAGCTGTGAAAACCAGAAATGCATCTAATTCAGCAGTGTAAAGGTAGAACAGAGGGCTAAACATACCACAGAGACCAGATTTATTTACAGTAAGTGTGGAGGCAGTCACAACAATGCAGAAGTGCTCAACATGCAGACAAGCAGTGATGCACAGTAAAAGAGTTTTGCAAAATACTCTTCCTCCATACACGTTTTGCAAGGAAATACTGGTGAAAAATACAGAAACGGTTATAACACCAGGAGGACAAATCTGTAATGATGAAGATGAAGAAGAGGCATGGTGTTATGCTGGATCTCATCATATTGTGTGAGATGTTCGTTACATAATGCTGGGTAAGAATAAACATGACCGTGACAATTCAAAAATGACACTTGAGCTGTGTGAACCTTGTTACAGCTATGGCATCCTTATGATTAATGGCAGTGCAGTGGGCTTATGATGTGTTTTCATTTCATTTTCTTGTCTGAAAGAGGGTAATGAGGTTTTCTTGCAGATGCTTACAGAGACATCCTCACAAGGGCGAGAGCAGCATGAGACCAAGCCCAAGGCTGGGGGTTTGTTTGATGGAAGGCAAGGGGGGCAGATGGGGGTTGAGCAGAGATGGGAGTTACCTCCTGTTAAGTGAGATTTAACAAGTAGGAAAGGAGGTAGGCCAGAAAAAGCTTTGGAAGTGGAAACAATTTATATTTGGTGTGTTAGAGAGGAGAGGCCAATGTTCAGTGCAACATCTTTTGCTTCCTACACTGCAGGCAAAACCCAGTCAGGCAGAAGTGAGAGCCATCTTCCCTAGTTACACAGAGCACACAAATCATGTACTGAGGCTCATGAATACACAGCTGTTGTGGCAAATTCCTTCTGATTTCTGGAAAACAGAAAGTAATGTGGGCTAGGAGAGGGCTAGTAGTCTTTTGGGAAATACCCTTGTATTGGGTTTCTGTGGCAAGGTCTTGGTAATGGGGGGGCTACAGGGGTGGCTTCTGTGAGAAGCTGCTAGAAGTTTTCCCTGTGTCCACTGCTGGCCAAGGCCAAGCCAATCAGCGGCAGTGGAAGCGCCTCTGTGATAAAATATTTAAGAAGGAAAAAAACCGGCTGCGGCTCAGCAGCCGATGGACCCGCTGCTGGCCAAGGCTGAGCCCATCAGCAACGGTGATGGTGACAGTGCCTCTGGTGACAGCCCCGCCCTGTGCAACAGCAACTGCAACTGGAGACAGGAGTGAGGATATGTGAGAGGAACAACCCTGCAGACACCCAGGTCAGTGCAGAAGGAGGGGAGGAGGTGCTCCAGGCGCCCGAGCAGAGATTCTCCTGCAGCCTCTGAGGAAGACCATGGTGAGGCACGCTGTCCCCCTGCAGCCCGTGGAGGCCCATGGTGGAGCAGATATCCACCTGTAGCCCAGGGAGGACCCCATGCCAGAGCGGGTGGATGCCCAAAGGAAGGAGGCTGTGACCCCATGGGAAGCCTGCGCCGGATCAGGTTCCTGGCAAGACTTTGTGGTCCCGTGGGGAGAGGAGCCCACGCCGAAGCAGGTTTGCCAGCAGAACTTGTGACCCCACGGGGGACCCACGCTGGAGCAGTCTGCTCCTGTGGAAATTATGGACCCATAATGGAGCAGTTTGTGAAGAACTGTAACCTGTGGGAAGGACTCACGTTGGAGAAGTTCATGGAGGACTGTCTCCCGTGAGAGGGACCCCACGCTGGAACAGGGGAAGAGTCCTCTTCCTAGGAAGAAGAAGCAGCAGAGATGACGTGTGATGAACTGACCTCAACCCCCATTCCCGTCCCCCTGCCCCGCTGGGGGGAGTAGGTAGAGAAACTGGGAGTGAAGTTGAGCCCAGAGAAGAAGGAGGGGTGGAGGGAAGGTTTTTAAGATCTAGCAATTTTTCTCCTCTCCTTCTCTGATTTTGATTGATAATAAATTAATTATTTTCAAGTTGAGTCTGTTTTGCCCATGATGGTAACTGATAAAATGATCTCTCCCTGTCCTTATCTCGACCCACAAGCCTTTTGATTTACTTTTCTCTCCTCTGTCCGGTTATAGGGTAGTGATAGAGCGGCTTTAGTGGGCCCCTGACGTCCAGCCAGGGTCAAACCACCACAACCCTGTATTTCCTGCTGTGCGTCACGTAATCTAAAATCCTGTACATGGAGTTTGAAATGGCAAAAGAAGGTGTTCAGATTATCAGAAGCATTAATAAATAATATAACTTAGATAAAGTGATTTTGACAAGAGATTAATAATTTTATGTGCTGTAATCATGTAGTACATCACAGTGATACTTGACTTCATTTGATTCCCTTACTGTCAAGAACCATGTTACCGTGCAGCTCTGTTAGCATTAAGAAATTATATACCAGCCAGTAGACGGTGATGGCTGTTTTGAACATCAGACTGAATTAACAGCCTAGGAGGGAAAACATTCACAACAGGGCTAGAGTCAAAGATTTGAGGAAGATCTTCAAAGTGTGTTTCTCCATGAGAACAGGAGAGGAGATTACACATAGACTTTTAAGTGAATGACTGTTTTTGCTATTTGCAATTTAAGTCAAGTCGGGTGTTTTGACAGATTCAGGTTTTGAGAGAAAATGCAAGACTCTGCACCTGCCACTTTCTGAGGCACGCTAAAGCATTATATCCCCATTCTGCAGGGATTTTGGGAAACAGAGGTAGTTGTGGAAGATCTGCTAATGCCAAGTAAAAATGAACACCAGCAACTTTTTATGTTCTTCAAACTTCCCCAAGGAAAACTTCCCCAGCAGAAATGATGAGTTGGACCAACTGGTTCATAGACATGGGGATAAGGGAGATTTACTGGACCCAGACTTTTTATAATTGATAAAGCTCCTGCCTTCCTCCAAATACTAGAAAATCAGAGACACATTAATTTTTCTGACTGAGCTGACACAAGAGGTCCTTTTAGAGTGGTTGCTATGGACAGAGTGAAGTTCCTTATGGCTGGTGAACAAGAGAACAAATTAAAAGTTAAAGGAAAACATGCTTGAAAAAAGTTACAGTACAATATTTGTACTTCAAATATTTAAGAGAACTGAGATCAGATATAGACCAAGAGGTGGGTCAAAAGAGAATATAACACCCTTTTTTCTAGGCATTCCTTTCCCCCTGTTCCTTTGCTGGCAAGAGTATGTTCTCTTTAGTATGGTCCACGTCAGACACATGCCTGCCCATTTTACACCTGGGCAGCTACTCCACAGCACTATCCGGTCTCTCTCTCCATACAAGATCATGGGTTTGTGGAGTATGTTTTTCCAAAGTTAAGCATCAAGGGGCATAGGCTGTCAGGGCCCTGACTAAAATGTAAATGAACTTAATTTTGTTTGGAAATGGAAGTCTGCCAATATGCACATTTGCAAATGCATTCATGGGTAGAACTTTTCTGAGGCAAGTTTTAAACAATAAATTCTTGGAAGCCATAATAGAGAAGCCATTTCTCAAAACATTCCCTAGCATCCAGAAAAAAAGATGAGGATGTTTCTGAAGTACTTGCCTAATATGAAAGACTGGCTATCAAGGAGCTTTTTGTGGTGGACATGTTTCTGAGGATATTTGTAAAAAAATGGAGAGAGGTATTGAGGTAAATAGAAGTCATGCACTTCCCAAATAGATGTGCCTTTCTCAAATGAGAAATACAAAATTGTTCAAAATTCTGTATCTTGAAAGAGTAGTTTCAAATAGAAAACCATGAGGAAGCAGGATACTTCCTGTCAGTTACGAACTTTTATCAAGTCTATGAAGATGACATTAAGGACAGAGGTCAGTAAAGGAAGATCACCAGGAGTGACACAGTAACTTCACTGAAGTCTCTGGGAGATTTCCCACTGATCAGAAGGGAGATGTGAGAAAAAGGATTTTCTTCACATTCCTGAGTTTACCCA